TTTCTGCCTTGAAAAGGTCATGAATATCAAAATCAAAACAGCTATTGGCAGTCTGAGTACAAACTTATTTTTATTGGCATCAGCTTTCAAAAAAATGCATCTGCTAAACCTCAGTGAGCGAGTGCGTCTGTTTTAAGGTCGTATGCACATGTGCCGTATATGGACATGTGTTTTGGTGTGACATTTTATAACCCTTCTTCTAGATACAGTATGTTACAGTCTGACACGTCTGGGGAGTCAGCAGTGCTATTTACCAACAAGCACAGAAGGAAAGGTGACAGTCAGATCCAGTCCTCCTCTACACTAAACTGTTGAGAACTATGAGCAGCGGATTAATTCAACATGCATATTATTTCCACTATTTACCCAGTTGTTGTTTGATCAATAAAAAGTTAGAAAAACTGTTTTCCTGCAGATTTCTCATCCAAAACTGTTGGACAGGTTTGCTTGAAAAGCGAACTATCACAATTTCAGTCTTCCATCCATTAATGATTCAGTTGTTGTGGCTATAGATTTTTGTATTTCTCATTAATTGAGAGGGGGTCTATGCATTTACTCGATGGACCTTGTCTCTTCAGGTTTGGTCTGTGTATTAAATATCAGTAAATATAAACTTTTATATAACTATAAACATGTTATCCTGACATTTAAATTCTAAAGCTGTCATATGCCTGTGTACATGATTTCAATTTGAATATTTATTATGACTAAGGCTTCATTACTTTCCATAATTTCACAATACAAATAAACTAAAATCTCTAACCAGCATTAAACAGAGGAGAAAAGAAGTAAAAGCAACAGATAGATCAACTTATATACTTATATGAATATAACAGTTTGAGAGATGTTGAAATCATTGACCCAGACTCAAGCATATGGATCTGCTGTAGGTTCTTGCTCCGTGTTGTGTGCACTGATTGTGTAATAAGAGACAAACCACAGTTTGAGCAGCGACACCAGGTCAAGATGTTTTCAAAGAAAAACGAAGCTTGTCGATTCCTCGGGTGCATCCCTGTTCTGTGGGCACTCAAGCAACTGTGTGTACACACACATGCACGTGCATGTCTGTGTATATAACTGCAGTGGCATTTGTGTGTGTGTGTGTGTGGGGGGTGCGTGTTCACAGCACCTCAGTGGAAACTTGGCCCTAAGCCAGCCGTTGCCCATGAGGGCTGGTAAACACACTGCAGTGGATCTCACTCTGTGAACACAAGTGCCAAACACAATGTAAACTTGTTTCCATCACTTCATTCAGCTTCTTACTCCTCTTTTTTCCTTCTGTTCTTTAGCCTTTCACATGTGAATCGCACTGATTTAGATATATAATACACATTAGTTAGGAAGTCTAACATTTGAGAGCTCAATCTGCTTGTGTGAAGTGTTGTCAAAAAGACAGCTGCTCCTGATACCTATCTATCTATTAAATCTTGACTCTTCTGTTTGTCTCTGTTTGTATGTGAAACATATATCTTAGTAACTGTTCATCTTATCAGCTTCACACTTGGCACATGTGTTGTTAAGGGCCCAAGGACGTGCAGAGTTTAATTTGGAGCGATTTGGACAAGCAGTATGTTCAATATTAATAAGCTTTGAATAAACAGGCGACCAGCGCTCTGTAGCAGCAGCGGCTGGGACTCATCAGTGTAAAACAACTGATTCTCCAGTTCGAGGTTCTGAATACTGAGTCGAGCTTCTCTGAATGAACAGGTGAACAGCTCTTTGTGCAGCATTGGCGGCGAGGCTTCAGGCTTCTGGAGTCCAGCAGCTGCTCAATTACTGCAGACCACTTTTACACTTTCCAAAAGAAAGCTGCATCCAAAATTACCACAGGCCAAACCAACAGCTCATTCTAAACAGGTTGGTTTAGACCAGGCACTGTATAGTACAATTATAGACAAGATAATTGAAAGTTAATTACCACCAGATTTTAAGTGTAAACCATGTCAGAGGTATATCACCACTTTGTTTTTAAGTTGATATGAGTATGGGGAACCGCAGGGTGAAGTGGTTAAATGGTAAACATTTCTGCAGGAAACCGGCCATTGGACATTCACACTTCCTGAGGAAACATCAGATCTGTCATCTGTCGGCCCCAGAGGCCAGCACAGGTCTGAGCGAGGTCACAGCAGAAGACTGCCCCCCCACGCAACATCCAAACCAGATGTCTGATGAATTGCTCCTCATAAAAGATTCCTTTTTTACAATGGACTGTAGCATTGCCAAATAGAGTAAGTCCATTACGTGTGCGTTCACAAGTCGTTAAAATTCTCACGTGTAATCCAAAATGGCCTCTAGACATGCTTGTAGAGACAACTGAGACATTTTTTGCTGTGATCTTGTCCAGGGTTTACTGGCTGCTGAAGACTAAAGTGATTCATCTTCATCTGCCACAAATTACGAAAAGGTCTCTCTAAAGATGCAGGTTATGACGAGTGTCATTCCTCCTGTCCTCTGACAGTTTGCAGAGAAACGAGGTCAGCTGGTGACTTTCAATTTTGATAGCATGGGTGTTGTTCCAGCTGTTCCACATCTGGAAAAACTGTAGTTTTTCTTCTTATTTTCCAGTCCTCTTTTTATTACAATACACAGATTACACAACCCTCTACTCCTGACGTGATAGATTTGCCTCTGAAATGTAAAAAAAGATATCCTGCAGGTAATGTGGATGCTTCCGTGTTCCCTTCAATTCCTTTCTCCTTTTTCTCCTCTTATCTGTGCAGAGGGACTGTTTCTGTCCCTGTCACGAATGATATAAACCACTCAAATGAAACAGCATTGTTTAAACTCTCCCAAGGAAGAATTACCTATGGCCACTGATAAGGTAAAAAAAATAGCTGATATTTTTGGAGAAATCGGCACACACTTGTGATCCTATGTGATATGTTGCATTGAAAGGACTGTCTGGCACTTTGTGAGCGTGTGCTGAGAGATGACGGACAGGACCTGGCCTCCTCCAGCTCCTATCGCTCTCTGTTAGCGCTTCTTCTCCTCTCCTTCCTTCCTGCTAATCACAACTGACAGGGGATACACATAACTCTGTCTACACCAGTGCAGAGCTAGAATCGTGTTGACCCGTCTTTGTCAGGTAGAGAAAGGAAAGATTTCTAGAATCATAAATAAATGAAGGACATTATAGAGTTGCATAAACAAGTGCATGGCATGAGAGAGCTCTTAAGAAGACAAAGGTCCATCTTCATTTAGATGCTGTGAGAAGACCAGATGTTGAAAAGCTCAGGGTTAAAAGTACAGTTTAAGTGTGTGTGTGTGTGTGTGTGTGTGTG